CAGCCCCCTCCAAGCATGACTCCCCGCAATGTGAGGAACGGCCCCGCACTCACCGGCTACGCAGCTACAATGTCCCAGGACAGGGCGCGAAGTCACAGGCAGGTGCGAGCGGGATTGGGCCAGGTCAGCCACCATCCCCAGGTTCATCTTTGACCCGACGCACGCTCGCGTCTTGCCACGCCCCCTGCCGCCCATTGGCTTCCATCTGCCCAGGCTGGGGGAACGTCACGACTCCTGGAAATTCCACGTGTAACGAAAACAAAGGGACAGGTGGGGAGCGGGGAGGAGTCAGGTGCTCGGCATGACACGCCCCCTCCTGTGTGCCCCGCCTCCTCCGTGACTCCATCCCTCCCGCCCTTTCCCACTGTGACTCCTCCCCCCCCGGCCTCCTCCTGTCTCTGCACCTCCCCCCAGCAATGCTGCTTGTGGTCAAGTGGGCGGGGCTGTGTATAACGGGGGTGGGGCTTGGCATCAGCGAGTCCGGGGTGTGATCCTGTGGGAGCCACCTGACCCTGGGCACTGACTTGTCCTGAGCCCTCTTGGGCCACTCTGCCAGCAGGCCTGGTGGTGGGTCCCCATCCCCCCCAAGGTGTCCCAGGCCAGCCTGGTCCAGCGGCCGTCTGAGTCTTCGGGAAGCCTAGAGTGGTAGAAGCCCAGCTCTGCTTGTCACACTGTTGCCACACATGAGACGGGGGCGTCACTGTGCACAGCCCAGTTTGAAAAATTCCATTGAAACACCCATAAAAGAAGAACATTCTTTGTTTGTTCCAGTTTTGTAGGCAGGCTCTGCTTGGTAACGACTGCAGTGCTGGGCAAGGCATGTTGGAATGGAGCGGGGTGACCATCTGCAACAGGAGAGTATGACCATTTACATCCCAGCCCCAGCAAGGGGGTACCAAGCCTGCAAAGCCCTGCCATGCCCAGCAGGGCATATACAGCCATAGTTTAAACATCTGCATCATCTACTGAGTGGGACAGCTCCTCCTGTCACAGCAAGTGGGTTTGGTTTGTGGGTGAAGGTTGGAGTGCCTCTGTTTTGGGGATAGATGGTCCCTTACCAAGGATCACAGCAATATTCAGGTTACCCCCATGTCCTAAAAGATCAGTCACTTACCCCAGGTCAGTTGCACTTTAGTTCTCAGACTCAGGGCCGGCTCCAGCATTTCTGCCGCCCCAAACAAACAAACAAACAAAAAGCCGCGATCGCAATTGCGACCGGCGGCGGCAATTGGGAAAAAAAAAAGCCGCGATCAGCAGCGGCAGTTCAGCGGCAGGTCCTTCGCTCCTAGAGCTTGTTAAGCTGGTACCTGGAGCCGGCCCTGCTCAGACCAAAGACAATGCTTGTAGCCAGTCCTATAATAGACTATGTAAAGATATATAGGAAAATGAAATGAGAGTTTTTACAAGGATAAGCAGGTAAACATACATACAAAAATGAATTACAATCTTAAGTTTCCAAAGTAATGTAAGTTTCTATGATAAGCAAGCACTTTAGAGCTAACCCAGGCTAAGCACTGGGGATCTTTTGTTTATGCCTAGTAATTCCTGTTGCCCTGAGTCCAAACAGCATAAAGATACAGTTCCTCCTTGTTTGGGGGTTTTAGTCCATCTTTCCCCTTCTGTTTAAAGCTGCAAACTCAGCTGATGGGAGGAATTCACTTGCAAGACTCATCTTCATGTTTTGGGGCAGGAGAGAGTAAACAACAAAGTTTTTTGTCCTCTAGTCCATCTGTTGTCGATAGACCTTCCTTGTCCGCTAGGAAGTAACACCTTCTGTAGGAGATCAGCACTTTACACTAGTTAATGTCTCTCACCTGAGAGGTGATCTAGAGGCTTACAATGTAAATACTGAAATATTACCTTATCATGTGAGTTTAATGTTATAAGTGAGATTAATGCATGCAGCAACATACAAGCATTGCATAAAGTCTAAACACTAAACACATTCTTAGAATTCTAATACCTGTTTTAACAATACTAACACACAGCTGAGTCAGACTAATTCCAGCTATGTATGTGTCAGTTGTTCAATGGAGACATGGGGACCTTCATATGAGCTAGCACCTGGTCTACCAGCATCACAATAGCACCACTCTTGATGAACTTGTTCTTGACAGGAAAGTTTCTTAATTTTTGGAAGAACCACTGAAATCAGTTTGCATTGGAATGACAGTGTAAATCTGGATGACCATTAAGACCCCTTAGTGATGGATGAACCCCAAGAGGGTTAGAGATTTGGTATGGATGCTCATTCAAACATTTAAGCTCTGCCAGACTTGCTATCCTAATTTTTTGTAAACCAGTTAAATGCTCAATGCAACATTCTATATGTCTGAAAATATTTTACCTAGTACATATGTAGGAGTTTGAGAAGTATTAAAAGAAAGTACATTTCATCTTATGTGCCTAGAGATATTCCACACCATAGGTATTTCCTTCTTAGTACAGCAAGACTGAGACAATTTTGGGTTTCAAAAATGACATGCTGTTTTATTTCCTTTTGGTTCATCACAATTTATGAAATCGGTAAGTTCCTTTAGGGACCCCTATGTAATATTTTGTGGCTAGCAATATCTTCTAGAAAATATCTCTGTCCACTCTGTTCCTTCTATCCATTCTCTTTCTACCTCTCTTTCCCCACATTGTTAAATTGTCTATTGGTTCTTATGTTTAAACTTTCAGTACTAGATACATTACGGGTGCTTCCTGTTTTCAAGTTAATAACCACTTCCGGAGTGAAATAGACCTCAAGAGTTTAAGATTTTTTAGTCCAGAACACACACATTACTGGGAGAACAGAATACTCAGAAAGTACTCATTATACTGAAGTAGTTAATCAACAGATACAGTGTTTTTTAAAATACTGTTGGATTTTAAATGTTTGGTTTTAACTGTCAGAAAATGAGAAGTTGAGGCAGCCATGTTTGTTGTGGGAGTGGTTCTGTCGGGTGTAACAAATCTGGGTGCAAACTGTATCATTCCTGAAAACTTTACAGTTGTGAGGTAAGAGTTGCATAGCATCCTTGCACCCTGATTCAGGACAACCTCTAGATCCATGTAGCCATGTCAATTTACTGGGTGAAGTCCTCGTCCACCGAAGTCACTTGGAGTTTTGCCATTGACTTCAACATAGCCAAACTTTCGCTCACAATTTTAATTAACATATGTCTCAATATAGTTAATATGCATTTCTGTATAAAAATATTAACTAGAAAATTGTTCATGTTTGCTAGGCAATGAAGTATCTAGACTAATAAGTTTAGACCAGAATCTGCCATGGAAAAAACCCTGGATGGGAAATATACTTGTGAAAAAAAAAGCCGAATATGTCCGGGAAAATAGGGAGGGAGGGACCAGCGGTGCTCGGCCGGGGGCCAAAGCCGCTGGGGCTGGCAGTGCTCGGCCAAAGCCGCCGGGGCCGGCGGTGCGGGGCCGGAGCCGGCGGTGTGGGGCCGGGGCCCGGAGCCGGTGGTGCGGGGCCGACGGTGTTTGGCCGCGGGCCTGGACCGGAGCCGCCGGGGCCGGAGCTGGCGGTGCGGGCCTGGG